CTCCTCCTCCTTCTCCTGCTCCATCAGGGACAGGAGCTGGTCCAGCTCCTCAGATAAACTCAGCATCTCCTCCTTCCTGGGAACATGAAGCCGGTCTCCTTTGGACCCTGTGTGCTGGTTTTGGTTCCGGTCTGGTTCCTCGGGTGTTTCCTGGACCCGTCTCGCGCTCAGGAGGCGGCGGGCCCCGCAGCGCTGCGGCGCGGGCTGACATGGCAGCACAACGGGCAGGTCTTCAGCCTCCTGAGCGGGGGGGCTCAGTACAGACCCAGCTCCAGGGGGCAGGCGGGGGGCCCCCGGCCCGGGAGCCCGGTGCTGGTCCTCAGCAGCACCAACGACACGGCCTCCGTGGCCCGCGGGTCCCCGAGGGTCCCCGCCGCCAGCGGCACCGCGCAGTTACGCGCCATGACGCGCCAGCGGCCGCGCGTCCTGACGGACCAACCGGCGCCCGGGAGGGACGGAGACCCGGCCGGGACCCCCGCCTCCCGGGAGGACATGATGGTGGGAGATGACCCCTATAACCCCTACAAACAGCACGGCTACGACCCCTACTACAACCACTATGACTCGTACTACAGACCCAGACCAAGAGCCCCGGCCCGACCCGGGTACGGAACCCGGTACCACCAGAACGGTACGAGACCCACCTGAGACCTGGTTCATGTGGCTGTTTGTCAAATAACTCTTCCATTTATTTATTGTCTGCAGCTGAATTTAATTTAATTTAATTTAATTTAATTTCCTCAGGATCTTTCAACACTAAATAAAGTTTAAAAAAAGGGAAAATCAGTTTATTGATCAGTTTTTAAACCAATCAGAGGAAAGAAAAGTTTAAACAGAACAGATGAACTGAAGCTGCAGGTCTTAATTCTTCTGTTTGAATTAAAAACTCAGTAAAGTGAACTTTAAACAACCAGATTGATGTTAAAATGTTGAATTTTCTACATTTTATCCTATAAACTTTTATACTTTTTATTTTAGAACATTTTCTACTTTAATGAAACATCAAACATCTGAAGAGTTTCTGTTGATAATTAATAAAGTAAAACAGGATTTAAAGATAACCAGACAAATTGTATTTCCTGTGACAATGCCAGTGTGAATGCCTGGTGCTGAAAACTTTAGCTGAAAACTGCTGAAGATGAGCTAAAAGCTGTTGAAATTTTACTGAATATATTTAATAGCAAAAGTATTATTGTAAGTAAAACTTGAAAAGCTGAAAAAAGCAAATAAGAAGCCTAAAAATAGTAAAAAGGAGCAAAAATAAAACTGAATTAGCATAAAAAGCTAAAGGCTAAAATAGCTGAACAGCAGAAAGACACCGTAAGAAGCTTAAATAACTCAAATTAACAGAAAGAAGCACAAAAAGTAAAAAAGGCAGAATAGTAGAAGGAAGAAGAATTTTAGCTGAAATATCTGAAAAAAGCTAAAACTAGCAAAAATGTAGCTAAAATTTTCACAAAGACTTTAAAAGGAGCAGAACCAGAATATAATGTGTTAGGTTCTGTAAAGATTTATAAACATTATGAAGAAATTTAAGGATGCTGGATAAAGCTCCATTCATTTCCTATGGGGAAAAAAGTAGCCGAAATAGCTTTGGCTACAATTGTTGAATTATCTTGAGGCTTCAACATGTTATAGAGCATGCTCTCAGCTACCAGTACATAAGTTTTCATGTCAATATCTCAAACACTGGTTGAGTAAAAGGACTTTAAAAATAGATTTGGCGGCCATCTTGGATTTTTTTTTCGGCTGCTGTTTATGATAGAGCTAAGTCTCAGCTATACATAAAGCTAATACATAAATTTTTTAGCTCATTATATCAAAAATATGCCAAATTCACGTCATTTGAACAAACTTTAGCTAGTAACAGCTTAACTTTAGCTAAAATTGCAGCAAATAGCTAAATATTGCAGAAGGCAACTGTAAGAAGCATAAATAGCACAAATTAGCAGAAAAATTATAACAAAGCAGAAAAAAGCAGAAGAATAGCAGAAACAACTAACATTTAGCTAATATAGCAGCAAAAAGCTAAAGTTAGCATAAAAAAGCTAAAGGTAGCAGACTCAAGTTGAAAGTAGCACTCAGATGGTGAAATGGATATAAATAATTAAAATTAGCAGGAAAAAACCCATAAAAATACTAAAAAGGGATAGTTTCAAGTAAAATATGTAAAACAGCCGAAGTTTTCAGTAAAACAGCTAAAAGTATCCAGAAACATTTTAATTAGCATAAGGAGCACAAGTTTGCTGAATTTAACAGAATAAATTTTAAATAGCTCCAAAAAATGTGTAATTAGCTTAGAAAGCTAACTTAGGCTAATAACAGCTAAAATTTAGCTAAATTTGTAGAAAATAGCTGAGTCTAGCAGAAATGAACTGTAAGAAGCATAAATAGCACAAATTAGCAGAAAAAAGCACAAATAAAGCAGAAAAAGCAGAAGAATAGCAAAAAGAAGCAGAACCATAGCTTAAATAGCAGAAAACAGCTAAAGTTAGTAAAAACAAGTAGCTAAAATTAAAAAAAGGAATTTAAATGAAGCAAAACCAGAGCAAAATGTGTGAAAATCAGTGAAGATTTATAAACTATTTGAAAGGTTTTAAGCAGTTTAAACATTGCCCCATTCAAAGTCAAGGGGCAAAAAAGTAGCTAAAAAAAGTGAAATATCTAAAAAAGTAAAAGTAGCTGAAATACCAAAAGTCATAGCACCCTTGGCACGAAAGAGCTGAACGTTTTGATAAATGAATTGTTGAAGTAGCACAAAAACTGTGGAACGAGAAAGGTCCCGAACATACGGAAGACAAAATGATCTCATTGGTGTGAATGTTATGATAAACCATGTCAGAGCGCTGCGCCCCCTGCTGGTTCAGGTCTGTCATTACAGCCTGCAGGTCCAACAGAATGTTATAATAAACTATGTCAGGGCGCTGCGCCCCCTGCTGGTCAGTTCTGTCATTACAGCCTGCAGGTCCAATAGAATGTTATAATAAACCATGTCAGGGCGCTGCGCCCCCTGCTGGTTCAGGTCTGTCATTACA